AAAACCCACATTTGAACACTTGTTTGAGCCACTGTATCTATGTAATACTAAAAGTGAATTTTATGACTAATGAAATGAGTCGAAGGAATACATACATGCATACATACATTATTACACGCAAGCAGTTAAAAGTGTTAATGAGTTTCTTGTGGAATCGGCAAAATCCTTATGGCAGCAGCAGGAAATAATTATTAGTGGTATTCACCAAATTGAGCACGGGGCCTGGCACTGTTGTCAACATTCATTGATTGAGCTCATCTGCTCTTTTGCCAGACTGCCAGGCCACTTGCTCACTTTGGTGTATACCACTATTGCTTAAGGTTGCCTAAAGTACAGTTTAGCTATGCCTAGCTGCATATTCCAATTTACTTATAAACGTAAATACATATATACATACTACACACTACTTACACTAAACAACATGCATACAAGATGAGAATCTATAGTATATATACTTACATACATATGAACAACTGTAACACCAACCAATTGCATTTATTGTAAAGATTTGCTGAATTTGTAAAAGCAACAACAACATATTTATTGTACTAAATTTAAAAAATGAATATAATAATAACTTTTGATACAAAAATTGTGGTTTGCATTATTGTTTTTTTTGGGTTAACGCCAACGAGTTTGAAAATGTTAAGACTTAAGCTCGGAACACTTTGACGACAGCAAGCGACAAGCAGCATCTGTCAAATTTTAAATACACACGTTCTTACGGACACAATTATTTTGACGACAGCACGACATCTTGGCTGCAGGACTGCAATTGTCGACGTCGCCAAATTAAATCTATTTCTAATTTTGCCGGCGACTATGAGTAGATGTAGTGTTGCAAAATTAAATTGTCGCAAAATTAATCACATATTCTTGATTGTTCATGTTTTTCTTATTTACTTAAATGAAAATACACAATTTGTGAAATAAATATACCAAAATGTCAAACTTTAAAATAAGCTGTTTGCTATGTCGCTGAGGTCTTCAAAATGTTTAAGAAACTGGCTTCAAGGCGACATTTGTCGACAAAATGATGTCGCTGTCGTTACGTCGTGAAGTTGCAGTCGTCAAAGTGTTCCGAGCTTTACACTTATATTACACATATAAATATGAAAACAACGTTTATTATAAAGGGATTCACAAGGCGTGTTAAGCGTCGTAATAAGTCTCAAAAATTTTTTAAATGTTTTTAGGGGATTCGATGTATATGATACTAAATATGATCTATGACTAGTAACTGCTAAGCTACATATCGTCACTTAAAGTACAAAACCGCGTATCAAGAAAATGCCAAACCTCTTATGTGAGGTTGCCTAAATTTTATAGGAGAGAGTAAAACTTGTCCTCTATCAAAACGGTTCTCTCTTTTATCCCTAATTATCTCTTCTTTTTATATCTTAGTATCGATAATTTAGTATGAATGAATAAGGGCTTGATGCCAGGAGCTTTCGGTGAGCAAATCTCTTTTTTGGCACAAATGCCAGTTACGAGGTTTCGCAGAACCACGATACGCAGTTTTGTACTTTAAACGACGATATGTATATGTAGTGAAAAACGCTGTGTGCAAAGAACGATGCTTCGCAGGCAGAAGATGTCGATCCCATAGAGCAATCTTGCGAAGGTAGTTCGAGAGAAAGTGTTGAGTTGATACCGCCTCAAGCAAAGCGCCTTTGAGGATAACACAATTTGGTCTCATCTTCCGAACTCCAATCGGACAATGTCCTGTCAATACCACTCTTAGCCAGAGTGATCTTGCAGTAGCACACATATCCTGGCTGACATGAGGCCTAACTTCCCAAGAGTTGTTCACATATAGTCAAAGTCACTGCCACTCTCTTTTCTGGGCGATACCGATTCAAGGGTGTTTTTCCTCCCCAACTCATTCGTCACGCAGTTTTCAACAATATCACTGTGGATTGGATCTGACTAGGAAATACTCCGACACAAACGAAGAGAGGTCGGACATTAACCAACTAGCTTTGATTGCCGCTTGGCTTCCAGAGTACACAGTTACCTCCCTTGTCGTTGTCGCACAAATCAACTGCCAATCGATTGCGTCCGTTATGGCAGCCACCTCTGCATGGTTTTTAAATATGTGTACAGTTAACTCCAACCTAACCGCTCGAGCATTCAAACTAGCGTAGTCTTCATTATAAGCTTCACCATTATCTAATAGAACCAAGGAAATTACCTTATCAACAAAATATAAAAAAATAATTCACACTAAAAAAAACCAAAACAAAAGTGAAAAACAAATAAATAATAAAACAACCCAAAAAGTAGAAAAAATGAATAAAAACAATAAAATAATAAAATTTAAAAAAATAATTACATTAAAAAAAGGTATTAAAGAAAAAATTTAGTTAAAAGAAACGACTTTAAAAAAATTAATACAGGTGTAAGTACCAGGTATTTATTAAATTTGATGTGTAAACATCTTTGTCCTGAAAAATTCCTGAACAAGTCCCGAAATCATCCCATACTATATCAGCGAGAAGTGTTGCTAGAACAGCTGATTAGTTTTGTTTTCCTTCGTACTACCTACATATGTATTTCTGAATTCATCTTAGTTTACGCGTGACAGTTTACGCAAATTTTGCCCATACCTGCAGCAAAGATGTTTACACACCAAAAATTAAATTTCTGTCTTACTTTTTATCAACACACTACTAATTTTATAGAAAAGATGTTTACATATAAAAAATAAAAAATAAAAGGTAATAAAATAAGAAAATAAAATATGTAATAAGAAAATAAAATAAAATAATAAAAGGGGGGAAAAATAAATAATATATGATTAAAAAAAAAAAAATAAAAAATTAAATAAAAAAAATAAAACAAACAAAAATAACATAAAACAAACATAAATATAAAGAAATAAAAAATTGTCAACAATAAAAAGTAAAATAAAACAAAAATTGAAAAGTAAAATTAAATGAAATTAAAACTTTAAAATAAATACATATGTGAATAAAAAATTAAAGGACATAAAATAAAATAAGTACAAAAATAATTTTATAAAGGAAAGAAAATGTAATAAAGATTCTAAAAAGTTAATTAAAATATAATAAACTGAACTCAAGAAAGGGAAGTGAAATGAAATTAAGTCGAATTAATTATGTTTTTTGCAAAGCAAAAACTTTTTTAAATATACTAAAATTTTCGATATCATATTTTTTTGAGGATTGTTATTTATTTAGATTTCTCTTTCTCATTCTCCTTTCAGAA